AATGGAAGTATAGTTTTGCAGATAACCACAGCTTAACTTGATTTTGTTATAATTGGTGGTAACATAATTATGTCCCTAGTCAAAACACATTTGGGATTTAATGAATTATTTCACCTAAAGTTGCTGGTTCAATTTTGTAAATCTAATTCCAATATGTACTGTATTGTAGGTTGGTTTATTCGTGGAAGTATATATAATAGAGAATACCTCAATGGTTTATTCAAGGAGGTTTGCCTCTTTGGTTTATTGTTCAAGACAAGTCACTCACTATTGATGCTTAGTAGGTCATGTGATAATTGCCAGATCTGTCCTTTGACATGTCAGTAACTCATTATATGTCACGTGAATGCAGCTCATTTTTTCTGTCGGAAAATGTTAATGTATGTACTTCGTGGACTAAAAAGTGTACCAACTTGAACTGTTTTTGTTACCTCCAAAAATTAAATCAGTCATATTTTTGTAGGTGTTTGATATCATACACTGAGTCTTGATTACACTCTGCAGACATCAACAAAATCAAATTTTTCCAACTTGAACGGTTGAATATTAAAGGAGTACTAACCTCCAGAAGGAAGTGCTATTTTCCAATACATCATGCTGCAATGAATACATAACTAGCCGACTTTTTACATAATTTCGCTTGTACGACTTGCACGGCGCATGTTTGTAAAGCGATATCAATATCAAATTTCCCCATGCTGAACCACAATCGATACATCCGGGAACTCTGGCTTACGCAATACTCATACGCTTCAAGTCAACATTAACATTTTTCGCCGAAAATGGTAGGAGACAAGCACATTAACAAGCTGATTATTGAGAAATTACTTGCTTTGCTTTGCTTGACCTGTGGTTTGAATACTATATTATATGAGGATGTCTAATGCAGTGAGCGCCAGTTTCATCCTGCGTGTTTTGATTTTCTCAACTTATTTGCATGTGAGTGTTAATTGAACAAATAATTAGATTACGCCACTTATGGAAAATATAATTAGATTACGCCGTTTTTTCATCGTCTATATTTCGGCATAAATAAGGGGCGATAAGGACATCAAGAAAGGCAATGGTTGGTAAGATAGCAAAGAACACAAAACGGTAGGAATTTTTCTTATCGCCCCTGAAATAAAGTCTGTAACGTAACTTTTTGTTTAAAACATAGACACCAATGGGGTAGCGTGGTGTATTCTGGGATCGTTTTGAGGGTATTTGGAGAGTTTGTCCTGGATTCGATGCGTTTTAAGACTTGAGTGCAAAATGGGCATTTAATTGTATACTGTAAAGTAATATGCATTTTTCACTTCCTAAAATTAATGCCTGTCGGAATATAGCACCCCCTTCTGGAGGTTAGTAGTTGGTATAAAGATGCCTATGCAGGTGGAATTCATATTATGACATTTTCCACTTTCCAAATTATGCGTTTGGTGTGTGTCAACATCCTATGCCCTGTCTTCTACATGTCTTTGAACTTTTATCCGTACTATTGAAAATGACTCGCCGGTGAAGGTTAGAAAGAAAAAAAAATTACTCGAGCAACTTCCAAAATCATATCCAGTTGCTTGAGTAACTGTTTTTGGTGTATTGAAATGTACTCTTGTTCCTCCTCAGCCTGTTTACAGGGTCCGCCTGGGAGAGACGGTCGGGACGGCATGCCGGGCCAGGACTGTCCTTGTGGAACAAAAGGTACGACTATAAATGTACATTACAACTTACCCATATTTGAATTTTGAACAGAGAGGCTCTCTCTAGTTAAATCGAGAGTTTTAAAGAGTTTCAAAACTTGCATAACAAGTTTGGAAGAGACTTAAAATAATACTGTAGGATATGAGGACCTGGCCATGGTGCCCAGTGTCTAGCTATACATCTTCTGGT